CCCCAAAACCCCAAAACCCCAAAACCCCAAAACCCCAAAACCCCAAAACCCCACCCTTTTAGATAAAGTTGAAAATTATATCAATTTCATATTATTATGGGAGATTCAGCAATGGAAATAGGTTAAATTTGAGAGAAAACATGAGGAAATCTGATTATGAGAGTGAACATGATGCTAAATACAGCTCTCTTGCTGTAATTATATTGCATCTTTTCTCTGTCATAAATTTCTCAAATTAAATTTCCTTTTATGCGGTCTGATAGCTCTCATGAAATCTTCTAAAACAACTTTACTTTCTAAAAATATGACTTTCTTCTGCATTGAAAGTTGAGTTTTTAAAGTCTTGAGTGATGTCTTTCTTAGTTCGTCCTTTAGTCTCTCTTAAATATAGAGTAGTTCAGATGAACCCAAGCATGGACATCCCACTGAAAATAAATAGAAAAATAGAGTTAGCCGTCCGAAATCTGGTGATAACTCCAAATAGATCAATAATCGCAATATTAAGAATCGGCAAGATCCTCATTAATGAGTTTAAAGCCCAATGGAAGAATGTCACCACTGCCATCCCTTTATCAGTCAGTAGCTCAGCACTGTACATCAGAGGTCCTGATGAGAGCGTGAACCAGAATGTGAACATAAATAGCACTATAAATATAAAGGATGAGAAGTTTGAGATGCTTCTCATTATCGGCACTCTTGCATTAACAACAGTTAGTTGGTCTGTCAGCTGGAACAGAACTCAACAGCACAAGCAGATAATCAACAACCCATATAGGAATAAGGTTTTCCTACCAAAATTCTTGAGAAAAATGATGGCTACCACTGACATCACCAAGCTAGTAGCGAATGAGAGAAATCTTAAATTCAGAAAAGTGGCATCAGTATGGAAGAAAAATGATAAAGCATAGTTTTGGATTATATTTACACCTGTTAGCTGCTGAAAAGATCTGATAATTACTCAAGCGATTACTTTCTTCCTCATTGATATCTCCCAAAGGTTGAGCCAGGTGTCCTTTTCCATAGAGGTTCTAGGCTTCTCAAAAGACTGCTGTACCTCAAGAGAGTTATTAATCCTCGTAATTATAGCTCCCCCTCCGATCTCTTCTGACCCTGAAGACACTAGATCATTTCGAGGTCGCACATGTTCTAGATAAACTGGATTTTCCTTTCTAAACAGGACCAATAGGGCAAGAAACTGGAGCCCTGAGACTACAGGAATGATCGAGTACATCTCCCTCCACAAGATGTCATCTTCGTGGATATATAATCAATAGTTTACATCAATAACATCTGGGATATCGTAAAGAGGTAGAAATTCTCGAAATATCAGAGGGATCAAGAACCCAATGTTCAGCCAAACCTGAACTCATACTATTAGGTACTCTATGTATTGCGCCCGTGCTATTTCAAATACAAAAAGCGGAGCCACTGCGTTGGTAATTCCGAACCCAAGGCCAATGATCGCTCTTGAGATGATCATTGCATGATGGGATCTTATAAGGAGCAGGCAACCTCCGATTATTCAAATGGCTGCAGATATCAGCAAGGCTTTCCTTTTCCCATATCTTGAAAGTTTCCAGGAAAAAGCACCACCCAAAGCTGACATTATTGGAACTATAAAAATTTGGTTACAACCCTTTCGAGCCGATCAAAATTTATCAAGAAGTGCTGAAATCTTGCCAAAGTCTGAGTTTGCTACAAATAATGTTGAAGCTTTATAAATACTATTACAATGAAAACTCCTTAAGATTTTTTATAAAAGCCATGCTAATAAAATGAAAATCCGACAATTCTCCGCATTGGGTGGATTCCTTACAGACAAAACTTGCTACCGTGTTATAAGATCTCCTGTCTTCTTGGTCGAAGTGGTATATTCAGGGAGTCAAGTCCCATAGAACACTCATTGTATGGTTAACATATCCAAATTGAAAGTTCCCCATTGTTATGAAGATCGTCCAGAATACCAAATACCATATCATGAACTCCAATTTCTTAAAACCCGTGAAAATTTTATAATTATTTCTATCTTTTCAATCTAAGCCAAATTTCAGGGGTTTTGGGGTTTTGGGGTTTTGGGGTTTTGGGG